CCCGTCTCGCGGGTTGGGCAGCTGCCCCCGCGCTGTCTGGGTTTCGCGCGGGCCGCTCTCCGGTCATAATCCTTCCCCAGGTTCACCTACGGAACCCTTGTTACGACTTTTACTTCCTCGAGATAGTCAAGTTTGATCGTCTTCTCGGCGCGCCTCTTTAAACCATCCAATCGGTAGTAGTGACGGGCGGTGTGTGCAACTGCTATTGCCAAAAAATGGGAATGCAGAAAAAAATTATGTTGTTGTGACTTTTTGACTTATTCAAGGCTCTAATTATGCCATATGAAATTTTGCAATTAAATTTTGTTTTACATATATATATCGAGCATAGTTGGTTTTGGTCATAGCACAGTACTGTTTTTATTGTCCATAGAGTGCAAAAAATTAAATAAAAACTATAAAAACAATATGTGTATGCATAGCGCTGATGCAGCTGAACATTTTGAGTGGTTGAAAGTAAAAAAATATTCATAAATTACTTAGTTATCACACTTGTAAAACATTTACCATTTTGGTAAAATATGTACGTTAACGTCATACTTTTAAAATGGAACCACTTAAAAACTTACTTTCAACAAGCATACGGTCATACAGTCATGTTTTCAAAATGTCCACCGTTGTTTTTTGTCAGATTGTAATTGTTGTCTCTTTTCTTGTACAGATAAAGTGACTGATGGAGGGTGCAACTCAAACAGTGTCTGGAAATCCAGATTTGGATGACTTGATCAAGCTATGCTTTAGACTTGGATTCAGCAATAAGGAAATACTTGCAATTTTAGCACATAATGCTCAAACTATTTTAAGTATTAAGACTCTTAAAAGGATATGCAAAAGACTTGGTCTTTTTCAAAGAAAGAACCAGTCAGACCTGGGAGACGTGTTGGCTTTTGTCCAGCATGAGATCCTGACTAGTGGACAGATGCAAGGTTATCGCTGGCTTCATCTGCGTGCCATTCAAAAAGGATTTGTTGTGTCACAAGATACAATAAGACAAATTATAAAATTGGTTGACCCTGTAGGCGTGGGAATAAGAAGAGCATGACGCCAAAGAAGGTGCCAATACAACTGTCGGGGGCCAAATGCTCTTTGGCACCTGGATGGCTATGACAAATTAAAGCCCTATGGGATTGGCATCAATGGCTGTGTTGATGGCTTTAGCCGGTATGTGTTGTGGGCGGAAGCCTATACCACAAACAGTGACCCTAAGGTGCTTGCAAGTTATTTTATAAAAACAGTTTCACGCGTCGGTGGGTGTCCAGAGAGGATCCGTGCAGACAGGGGCACAGAAAATGTTTGTGTTGAACAGATGCAGATGTTTTTGCATAGAAACCACTCAGACAATTTTGCTGCGGAGAAGAGTTTCCTTTATGGAAGAAGTACAGCCAATCAGCGTATTGAAGGGTGGTGGTCAACCCTT